GGGCAGGTGTGGGCAAAAAAAACAGGGGAGAGAAAAAAAGGGATGTGAGAAAAAACTTGTGTTCTTGCAGTAAAACATGCTACAAAGAAAATGGTTTTTTATTTGCAGTAGAAAACTAACCTGGTCCTAAACATCTCCTTCATCGAGAATCTGCACCCTGGATGGGGCCATGCACGAGGGGATGGTGCTGTGAGTACGGGGGGGTCCGGGGCTGCAAGGGCACCTGTGGGCAGCAGCAGCGGGACTCGTGGCAAGGGGCAGCTTAACAGTTGGTCAAATAAAATTGTACATGTATGGCATAGAAGAGAGTCGAGTAGGCTGTGAGCCTGTAGTTCTCAGCCCATGAGGAAACGGGAGAAATCAGGTGTCAGTTCTTAGGGAATGTGAGGTTAGGATAAACTTTTACTGGGTGCTCCTGCTTGCAGGATGCCTGCCATTGCAACCGCAAATAAAATTGCTACTTCACTGAGATCCTTGCCTGAGCCCGAGTTCTTTCTGCAGAGTTGTTCTCACATGTCCTTAGCAGTGCTGGTATGATCCCGAGCCCAGTTAAAGCAGTGGCCCAAGCAGCCAGATGCCAGCACATTTTTCCAGACCTCGGAATAGCCGACGAGGGTGGCTCCCTCGGGGAATTTGCACGTGAGAGTCGACACGAGGCACAGCTTCTGCTCTTCGTATCTTTGCTGCTCTTTTCCTGCTCCTTTGTGTTTTGTGTTCAAGGAAAGGCCAGAGCCCAGCACAACAGCGGCTCCAGTCTATAAAAACTTCATTTTCCCCCAAAAAGCACAATGCCTATGTTAAATGCCTCTCTAACACCTGCCAAGCAGGAACATTTCTTACAAGAACTCTGTGGCTCTTTGGAAAGGCAGTAAGAGAGACTCTTAAATTAAACTTCATATTTCAAATGCTTCCATTCGTGGCTATGTTTTTTTTTCTTATTCTCTTAATGAAAGCTTTAAATTATTCTGAAGAGTAGTCTTCTGCCAGCAGAGCAAGCAGGCTGTTTCTTTATACGGCACCCTGAATCTCATAAAATATTTTCACACGAGACAGGGACAGCCGTGCCTGCACCCCACGTTATCAGTGCTCAGCTTCCCAGCCACAATTAAAAGCAGGATTTGACCTTTGTCACTGTTGCTTAAGTAGGAGAATGATCAGTCCTTCAGCTGTCGGGGAACCTCCATGGTTATCTCCCTGAATGTGGCTCTGTGTGTGTGTTTTAAGGGAAAGGCGCTGCTCCCCGAGCTGCTCTGACACCCAGAGTGCCCCCACGTAGCATAACCGCAGCTATGGGATGGCAGATAGCAGCCCGTGCCCCCAAAATGAGAGTCGTCTTTTAACATAGACAAAATAATGCAAGTTAAAAGAGACTTGCTAATAGCACACAGCTCCTGTTTGGGGATTAAATTTACGCATTGCGGGTGTAAAGGTGGTTAAATGCACCCGTCAGGGCTGGGCTCGCAGCGTCTCAGCAGCGTTCCCCCGAACAATGCTGCGCATATTTCGCTCCTACCAACGCGCTCCGTGCCTTTTCGGCAGAAGAATGGCCAAGCACACGCTGATGTCACTGCAAAGCAGAAATAAAAATTGTCTGTATGGTCATGTGAGTATCCTCAGTGACCTGGTACTGCGCCGACCAGACCGTCCCATCCTGGGACCCCCATGCCAGCCCTGGCACAAGGCGTGCTCCGGGTGTTAGAGGAGGATAAACACCACGGAGGTGGAGAAAAACAGAGCACACATCCCTGGGGAGGAGGATTTCATCCTGGTGAGACATGGGGTTAGAAATTAGAGAGCGGTTGATTAAGAATGAATATGTAGGCAACACTCATTGCTTAACATGTGCTACATTTGCCATGTGCCTGTGCTGCGCTTGGGTCTCCAGATAACAGGAGCCCCTGGGACACCGAGAACCAGGTCAATCCAACCTTATGGTTTGGACTGTGACCAAGGGCTCAGAGATAAGGAGGACTGCTAAAAAGAATGGTAAACTTGCAAGACCTCGAGATAACAGGAGCTCTTGGACCCCAAGAACCAGATCAAATCAACATTATGGCTCGGACTGTGACCAAGGTCTCAGAGAGCATGCGCAAGGAGATGAGGTAAAAAGTTCAACCCTGATGAAGACATCTGACTTCATCCCCACGACCCTCAGCGCCCTCCACCAGAAGGCACCAAGCAAGTGCAGAGGGGAGGAGTTTATGGAAATGACTTCTTGGAACTAATTTTAATACTAAGCGGGGATGGGTTATGAATATGTATAGGTGTATTGGGAAACCTCATGCGTATGTAACTCTCTACTGCATATAACCAAGGCAAGTTGCTGCATTAGGGCGCGCTTGACTTTGGTGGGTCTACCCTCCGTGTCACCCAGCGCTGAATAAACATACCTACTTTATAATCTTACTGATTCTGGAGCCTCTCGAGCCGCCTGCTGCCTGGACCGGGCACCCAGTGCCGAGGGACAGCAGTGGCATTTGCTCCAGCAGAAACCCTTCCTGCACCGTGTGCCCAGACCAGAAACAGCAACTGCCCCTAAAACGCAGCCCACCAGGGACCCCCAAAACCCCTGCATTGGGTTTCATGCCCAGAGAAGGGCTGAAGGCATGGGAAATCCCGAATTCATGGGTGCCAAGGTTGCCAGCCCTCCCCAAAACACGGGTATGGGTCTGGGTTTGGCAGCACGGGCATGGGTGCAGGCCATCTTCCAATAGACCAGGATCTCTCTGGATTCCCAAGACCATTGGAAAGTAATTGAGAGAGGTTTTTCCTCCCAGACAACGGATATGTGTACTGGGGCCCTGCTTCCCAAGATGTGGCTGACCTTGCTTGCTGATGGGCAGTAGAGAGTAACTGCTTTCTGTGCTTCCGTGTGGATTGGCTTTTATTTTGTTTTTTCTTTTTCTTTTGTATTTCAATTTTCCTTCTCTCAACCCCTTAGCCTTTTTCTTTGTGTCATCCTTTCTGCCTCCCCTCTGTCTCTGAGGAGCAATGAGAGAGCAGTTGTGGTTTTAGTTAGACACCAAAGTGAAACCACGGCAGCCTTTTGGCATCCATTGAGAGGCTCAGGGGGTGGAGATAACAAGAAATTTGACCAGAGTGCTTCAGAGGAGCTTACAATGATCATATTTGTTATAAGTTGCCCCCTTAATTAATTTTCAGAGAGCATTGCATTAAGAATAGAAAGGAATTTATGGAGTAAGCCAACAGCAAGCAAAACAGCGCTGGGCGGCCGGAGAGTCTCGGTTCCGCCATCGGCACGCACCTCACCCCCGCCAGGGTCCCTTTTTATATCTTGGTAATTCCGGGATTACGCAGCACATCCTGGTATATTCTGCGACTGCGCGCACTGTTGCTGGGGGTCGTCTCTGTCCCTCTGGTGCTCGTGAAGATGAAGGCCGTAGTCTTCCTCAGCGTTGTGGTTCAACTTCTTTTTTTATTTGGTCATGTTTGCCCAGCGTGAGACAGGAAGGCAGGATGTTGATACACTCGGTTAGCAACTTATCAGGAGATGGTTGCATGAGCTTTGCAGCAGGGTCTTTGAACAAAAGAGGCAACTGAGATGCAGAAGGAGAGAAGGGGAGGGGGTTCTCTTTTTTGTTACATTAAGGAAAAGAATTTTCATAGTGTCTAGCCAAGCATTATACAGCTCCTTACTTCAGCAGGAAGCTTTTGCAACTCCCGCTCCTCAAACAGAACTCCTTGTTTTTATAATACAAAAGACAATGAACAAACATTTATTGTGTATTACAATCCCTCCTTTTTCTTTTAGTTACTCATTTTGTTCATTGAATCTCTGCAATGCCTGGCTACTAAGAACCAATGTTTCCTCGATTCCTTTGTTGGTCCTTATTGGCTCGTATTTGTCATCTGTGAGCATTAGATGTGCTGCTTCTAAACGACCTTCTACAATCACAATCAATTTATTAAAAATACATGGTCCAAAAGTTAGTGCTATCATTAATAACAACAAAGGTCCTGTTATTGTTGATAATAAAGTAGTAAGCCAAGGTGAATAATTAAACCAAGATTCGTACCAGCTCTGTCGGGCTTCATCATTCTCCTGTTTCCTTTTTTTTTTTTTTTTTTCAACCCTTCCCTGGGTCTTGCCATTGTATCTTTTACCACTCCAGTGTGATCAGCATACACACAGCATTCCTCTTTCAGGGCTGCACACAGCCCGCCCTGTTGTAAAAAAATACCAAATCTAATCCCCTACGATTTTGTAACACTACCTCTGAAAGTGACCTGATAGATTTTCCAGGGCCGAGATGGATTGTTCAATTTGGGTCAGGTCCTCGTCCACAGCAATGCATAAGGAAGTAAATTCCTGATTTTGTTTAACCAATGAGGCTACCCCAGTCCCCACTCCAGCTCCTCCCAGGATTATTAGGGTAGCCGAAGTTAGAGCTGTGAATGGTTCCCGTCTTTCCAGATGACGACTTGCCACTGTGTCTGGGTGTACATACAATCCTCAGGGTGGTATAGAATCCTTGGTATAATTATCACCTGTATACAGAAATCACGAGACGCATTAAAGAGTTTTAGTGATAGACAAGGAGTTACGCCCACTCACAAACAAACCCACCTAGCGTTGTTGACTGGGATTAACCACTCGGCTGATTGTTTTCCATTCTCCATGATATTACGTAGGTGACAGTCCCCACTAGGAACCGTGCCCACACACCTACCACCTCCAGTGACTTGTGTTAGTGTTACCCTTATGTCTTTTCCCCTACTGCATTGTAGAGGGTTGTTCTCATTTGTGCGGGAGGGCTCCCCAGGATTCCTGATAGCATCATAATATGAAGGCCTTATACTAAAGCATAATCAACAGTGTTTTGTTACATTTGGGTTTGTTTTGTTTAATAATTGGTAGCTGGCATTCATGACACCCCCATATGTTATTCTCAGCTATGTTATCGTTCTCTGTTTTACCTGAGCTCGTAGGGCTGCCGAGGGTTGGCACTGTAGTATTTTTGGCAGGCTGGATTCCCTGGACACTTTCTGACAATACCTCATTTGGTCCTACTGCCTGGGACCTATCAGCATCCTCCTTTTTATTAGTACGAGTCCTCCCCTATCTGTTCTGTGTTCGTAAAATCTGACACCTCACATTTTTCCTAGTACCCAGCTAGTATAATCCAGGTTTGTTATATTTATATATAGAACCTTGCAAATTTCTTTATTTCCGTGGAAGGTTCCTGTATACCCTATACCATGCCCTCACCACCTGTAACGGGGACCTGCTTGTTGGTTACAACCTTGCGGCCCATATCCCACTTGTAAGAATTTATCCCGACCAGCCCCGAGTGTCCAGTCCGTAACAATGGTTTCACACCCCCAGTATGCACAATAATACGCGTTCAGGTAATTACAGTACCCCTTTCCCGGGTTAGAACTTGGGCAGAAATAAAATCCTGATCGGTTAAAGCATGGCTGCACTGACACCAGGTCACATAATGTGATGCAGAAACTGGGGGCACCCGCTGTCGTTGTTTGCTGGATGACGAATTGATCCTTCCGTCTGATCAAGCTCCATTTAAAAGGCTGATGGGGATGCGCAGACCCATAGCTGACCAAAAGGATGATACTGACTCCCATGTATCGTAGGAGGTGGTCGGAGCCCATCTAAATTGTCGGCCCCTCAGTCCCCCACCGTTTTCACTTCTCAGCCTCGCTTGTCAGTTCGGTTGCAGCGAACTACAAGGTATCGGTTCTTCTTGGCAGCAGCAGTGTTCTTCAGGGGAACCTACTAGGGAGCCTTTGAAACAGGGCCTCCTCCCCTTCCCACGATACACAGATAATACACAATACTTATCGAGTCCGTCTTAGTGTCAGCTGCAAGTCGTCAGGGCCTGGAGCTGCCTCCCATTTACCTTCCCGGATTGGTCCTTTCACACGGCTGGCATGCGTCCATCCTTTCTCCGCAGTTCGAACAGCCGTTTCTGTGGTAAGCAAAACAACAGAGGGGCCTTCCCCATCGTGGTGTTAAAGACGTCTCTTTCCAAGTCTTAATTAGAATTGAGGGTGATCAAGTGGCAATTCCAAGTCATAGGGCATACCATATAGCATTTCAAAAGGAGAAATTCCTACATCAGTTTTGGGCTGTGTCCGTATGTTTAACAGTGCAAGAGGTAAGCATTTTACCCAAGAAGCCTTAGTTTCCAGCACAAGTTTTGTTAGTTATTTCTTAATTTCACCATTCTTTCGCTCTACCTTTCCAGCACTTTGGGAGTTGGGAATGCCACGGAGTGTGGTATTCCCAACTTGTTCCTAGAGCTTCCATAGTCTCTTGAGACACTTTGGAGACAAAATGAGGGCCTCAGTCAGAGTCAATTGTTTCTATAATCCTGTATCTAGGAATAATATTCTCAATTCCCAATTCAATCCAGATTTTAGTATTTACTTAACCGATCATAATTTTTGGGATGATTAGGGTCTCAGTGGGGTCGGTCAGGGGAATGCAATTGTCCGCAGTTCCCTGAGTGGTCCCATCAGCAATCTGAGCTCACACATGAACTCAGGTTGTTTTAAGAGTTAGCTGCTTTTCTGTTTCCATAACAGCTCTCTCTGGGACCCATCATGATCCCTTTGCCCCAGAGGGCTAACATCCCATAATTTTAGGATCTCAGCCTCGGGCTGAGGTGGAACTATTAACATTCCTACATCCTCTTTCCCTGCTCATTCAACCTCCAATACCTTTAACACTTTCAACAATCCTTTTAACACTTCCTTTATCATTCTCTAGCCTTTACTTTTCTAATGCCAACATCAAAGACTCAGTCAGGGACCAACTTAATTCCGTACCTTTTCCCTCTAAGATGCTGAAACAACATCAATATACAACATTTCACCCTGTTTTCCGTCTCTCCACAGAAACAACATTGACTGTAATATGGTGTTATAATTAATACTTCCATTTAGGGGCCACTTCTCTCCATCCTCTAGTTTATAAAGTGGCCACCACTGATTACAATATTTGATAAGGGTTCTTTTACTCTCTGTACCCTCTCACCCCACTATATCCCTCCAGTGTGTTAGAATACGTCCTAGAAGACTTTTCCTCGGTATTTCTTTGCTTTGAACTTTTCCTATTGTAATCTACAGGTGGTCAATATTCCACCGTTTTCCTAGAAGCTCTTTACTAGTCAATCCCAATCCCTCCAAAATCCACAATATATAGATACACAAGTGAAATCAGACCACTGTAAATTAACTGCCTGTAGACAATTACACTGGGAACATTTAAACCTGATGAGCCAATAATATGCCTGGGCAAATTTTGTTCCCTTAGACATACACCTCAATGGCAGTTCTTATATTTTCATATTTACATACTAACATAGGTATAAAAGAACACTTTAACAAAAATGCCCGGGCTTTTATATATACAATATATAATGTGCAGTTAGAATTATTCCTCAGCAGCTACAAACATTATGCCAGTTGCCATTAAAGCTCGCTTACCCTCCTCCTGTCTTTCTTAAAATCTCGGACGTCCCCGGAGTTAATGGGGACGGCCACATATTCCTAGTCACTGGTCCCTGAGTGCTAGAGTCAGAGTTGCTATCAGAGTCTCCCCGGGGTTGCGGTTTAGGAAGCCCGGGAGTCAGAGGGGCTGCAGGTGGTGGTGGTGAAATATAGGGAGGCAGTGGGGCTGGGATCTCTAATTCTCGGTTTTTCTTGCGCCTCCCATCCCCTCCTTTTTCTTTTAGAGGGTATAAATTGGCTTGAGTTTCCGAGCTGATCCACAAATGTGCATATTCACTTTTTTCCAAACTAAAAGGTTCCTTTGAGTTTACATAAATATTTAGGGTCTGGCAAACCCAATTTTCAAAGGACCCAAATACGGGCCGGTAAAGGTGGTCTCCTTAAAATCTGTTTACCACCCCAAACTTCAACACAATAATGTATCATTTTTACTTTATTCCTTCCCCGCCTAAAAGGGGAATCCTCCCAATTTTTAATCATTAATCCCGGGGTAACCTAACATCTGTCGTTACCCCGCCCATGGGACCAGAAGGCTTACTCTTCTTCTGTCCCATCTTCTGGAGCGCCTTCACACACATACACACACAAATCGCTTCCCCCTTTTCGTGGCCCAGTCCCTCACGGGATGTGGGAACCGCACTACCGAGGGGTCCGCACTCGCTTCGTCCGCAATTGGACGTCTCACAACGCTACGCTCCAGGATACCCAACCCCAACCGAACGGATCACCGGCCTATACTTACTCACTCCTGAGTCTTCGTTCGGTCTTCATGCACAAAGATTACTAGGGGTTGCCGGCTTTATTTGCTTGCTGCTGAATTTAGGGTTCGTCGGTGAAGGATTTGAATGAAAGTAATCCTAGTGAAGGCCGCTGAAATCAGCGGGGCGCCCCCTCCGAAGGTCTTTCAATCAGATTGCCTTCATCCGAGTCACGGCACCAAATTTGTTATAAGTCACCCCCTTAATTAATTTTCAGAGAGCATTGCATTAAGAATAGAAAGGAATTTATTGAGTAAGCAACAGCAAGCAAACAGCGCTGGGCAGGCCGGGGAGTCTCGACTTCCACCAACGGCGCGCACCTCACCCCCGCCAGGGTCCCTTTTTATATCTTGGTAATTCTGGGATTACGCAGCACATCCTGGTATATTCTGCAACTGTTGCTAGGGGGTCGTCTCTGTCCCTCTGGTGCTCGTGAAGATGAAGGCCGTGGTCTTCCTCGGCGTTGTGGTTCAACTTCTTTTTTATTTGGTCCTGTTGGCCCAGCATGAGACAGAAAGGCAGGATGTTGATACACTCGGTTAGCAACTTATCAGGAGATGGTTACATGAGCTTTGCAGAAGGGTCTTTAAACAAAAGAGGCAACTGAGATGCAGAAGGAGAGAAGGGGAGGGGGCTCTCTTTTTTGTTACCTTAAGCAAAAGAATTTTCATAGTGTCTAGCCAAGTATTATACAGCTCCTTACTTCAGCAGGGAGTTTTCACAACTCCCGTTCCTCAAACAGAACACCTTGCTTTTACAAAAGACAATGAACAAACATTTATTATGTATTACAAACGTCACCCATTACACAAACAAAACCCACATCCATCTCCACTCCATTGCTGCGCGCAGCAACTACAACTGTGCACTGGTGAAGAGTACGGGCAGCCAGCGGGGTGGGTAGCATCGTGAGATGGCTGGGGACAGGGCACAGCCCTGGGCAGGCGCCCCCCGTGCTCCCCGCGCTCCTCCAGCCATGGCTGCAGAGGAACGGGGGCCCCGTGCCACCGGCTCTGTGAGGGGAAGGGGAGCCTCGTGGTGAAGGCAACACCTCCGTGTGGGGAGCCTGGGGAGCCTGGGGAGCTTGAAATAACGTGGAGCTGCTGTGCGGAGCCATGGGGGTGTGTAGAGAAGGAGGAGCAGGAGGACCTGCTGAGGGGTTAGGTTTGGGGTATAAAAGGGCCGGTCAGTGTTTGTGTGTCCTATCGTCACATTTCTCTCATTAAAGCTTTTCTCTTTGCACACTCGCAGCCTTTCCCATGTGTCCGCGTGCTGAGAGGCCTACGTGCCAGCTCCTGGCGAGGCCTCTGTGTGTGCGAGTGAGCTCAGTGCCAGCTCCTGCAGCCAGATCCAAGTGTCCCTTCTCTCCCCAGCCCTGCTGGGGAGGAGGGTAGCGAGCGGCTGTGCGGTGCTGAGCTGCCTGTAGCTTCAAGCACAGCAGGCCTTCTGGTGCCCAGTGCGAGGCCCGAAGGCTTGAGGGAACGGCAGAGCCAAGCGCAGCGTGCCCGAGAGAACAGCCCTGCGGGGATCAGCTCACAACACGGCGCTGCCGCCGGCGCCGGGCCTAGGGCCGGCTGCGGGACTGGTGGCGACAGTGCCCGGAGGGGCCGGGGGCAGTGGCAGCGCCACAGGGAGGAGAGGTGGCCCTGGCTTTGTGTTGAAGTGGCCCAACTGTGTCTGGGGTGACCTGGTCCCTGGCAGCTCCCTGTCCTCATCTTCCCCAAGCTGCTGAGGAGCAGAAGGAGCAGCTCCGAGCCCAGAAGTGGCCCAGCTCCATGCAGGGGGTGAGCCCTCACCCAGGGGGGCCTCCACAGCGCTGGGGACATGGCAGCGAGCAGGGGCTGTGTGCTGGTATTGCCGTGCTGGGCAGCTGAACTCCACCACAACCACTCTCTCACTCCCCCTTCTTAGAAGAGGAGGGAAAGAAGTAAAGGAAAGAACAACTTGCAGGTTGAGATACAGATAATTTAATTAAAAGGAAAAATGATTATTAAGGAATGATTATTATTATTACTAAAACATTTTAAGTAAAGGGAAAAAAAGGAAAGGGGAAAAGGGAGGGGAAAAGAGGGGGGGGACACACACAAAACAACTCAAGAAAGCAAAACAAGTAGAGGCTGTGTGGAAGTACAGAGGACAGAAATTACTCTCTACTTCCCACAAATGAGCGATGCTTGACCACGTCCATGAAGCAGGGCCTCAACGCACGGAGACGGTGTTCGGGAGGAGGACCGACGTTTTCCCAATGAGAGCCCACCACTCCCACTCCCCTCTTCTTCTTGTTCCCACCTTTTATTGCTGAGTGTGACACCAGATGGTATGGAATGTCCCTTTGGTTGGTTTAGGTCAGCTGCGTGGTAATGTTCCTTTTTCACTTTTTGCCCGCGCCCTACGAGGGTTAGAGAGAGGCCCGATGCTGTGCCAGCACTGCTCAGCAGCAGACACAACCCTGCTGTGATCCAGAATCCCAGAATCACGGAAATGGAGGGGTTGGAGGTGACCTCAGGAGATCATCGGGTCCAACCCCCTGCCAAAGCAGTTCCCTAGAGCAGGCTGCCCAGGTGGGTGTCCAGACGGGCCTTAAATATCTCCAGAGACCCCACAACCTCCCCGGGCAGCCTGTCCCAGTGCTCCGTCACCCTCACCATGAAGAAGTTCTTTCGCGTGTTGGTGCGCAACTGCCTGGGCTCCATTTTGTGGTCACTGCCCCTTGTCCTGTCCCCATCCATCATCTCCAGGATGAAGAGCCCCAGGTCTCTCAGCCTCTCCTCACAGGGAAGATGCTCCAGGCCCCGGATCATCTTTGTGGCCCTCCGCTGGTCTCTTTCCAGGAGATTCCTGTCTTTTTTGTACCGGGGAGCCCTGTACAAGAAACATGGGTAAGTGGTGCGAAGCCAGGTGCCTCCGTCCGGGCTCGCAGCATGCACCCGAGGTTGGAGCAGTGCTGGCTGGCGTGCGAGAAAGCATCCTGGGTGTGGGATCGGGCTGCAGTACCAAATCACCCGCAAAGCCCATCACAAAGCAATTTTGGCCACTGCAGAGCCATTGCGGGGAAGGCTGTCCCTCACCAGGAGCACCACGCTCAGAGAAGAAGCAGACGCAAGACCTCAGGAACTGGGATCTCCTTTAATTCCCCGCCAGCGAAGCGTGGCCTGACACTGTTCTAAAATGACAACTTTTAACACCAGGAAAACCCACGAGCCCACATCGCCAAGCTCCTGGCATCCCATGGCACGCTTTGGAGGGCGATGCTGGCCGGTCCAAGTGGTGAACCCACTGGGACGAGACCCAGCCAGGCACTTCCCCTACAGAAATAGGTCCCGACCCAAACACCTCCCCAGGTTGGCGTCACCTTCGTGCCCAAGGGATGTCCTGGGGTCCACCCCAGCCCCAGCTGCAGCCCCTGCCAGGACCTGCCTGGGGTCCCCCACCCTAAAAAACAGCTTTGGGACTGATCCTTCCACACACTGACCCCAATCACCCCAACCAGCCCTAGCCAGTGGGGCACAGATCCCTGCACGCCCCCATGGACCCATCCCAAAGGGTTGCTGCCCCAACCCCCCTGGAATTTACATCCCCATGCACATGCTGGGTCCCAGACCCCCTCCAGCCCCCCGCCAGGACACGGGGCCCCTCTGCCAGCACACCCCACATGCCTGTGTGCCCTCTGCCTGCACAGGCAGCATGGCCCCCCCCTAATAAAAAGGGGTACCCCAAACATCAGGTGCATCCCCTGGGCCAGCTGTGAGGAAGGGAAAGGTGCTGGGGGGGGGCACCCGTGAACACCATTGTCATTACAAACACCTGTAAATCAGGGGAGAGCCTGTATTTGTGGGATTTTGTGGCTTTCACACCCCCCAGCTGAAGGCAATCTGGGGTAGTAGGTTGAAGATAGTAGGGAAAATCCTCCGAGTGGTTTGTTGGAGGATGGGATTGTTTGAGGGCTCCTCAGAGAAAGCAATGATCCCGATCCCCTGTCTGGAATCATCTTCTTGCATCCCCCCAGGGATAACTGCACCTGCTGCTTCCCTAAAGAGCCTTTACACCAGTGCACGGAGCATGGGAAATAAAGAGGAGGAGCCCAAGATCTGTGTAGGGTCGGGGGCCACGATCTTGGTGTGATCACTGAGACGTGGTGGGACAGCTCACACGGCTGGAAGGCAGTCACAGAGGGCTACGAACTCTTTAGGAAAGACAGGCTGGGGAAGTGAGGGGGAAGAGTTGCCCTTTATGTGAGGGAGCAATTAGAGTGCACCCAGCTCCAGCTGGGGGAGGGTGAAGGACAAGAGGAGAGCTTGTGGGTGAGAATTAAGGGGTGGGCTGGTATGGGGGAAACTGCTGTGGGGGTGTGCTACAGGTCACCAGATCAGGAGGAGGAGGAGGTCGATGGGGCATTCTATGAGCAGCTGGAAGTAGCTTTGTGATCCTGGACGCTGGTTCTCATGGGGTCCTCAATTATCCAGACGTCTGTTGGGTAAGTTATCTAAACACCCCTGCCCGGAGCTGCCCCCAGCCTGGCCCTTGCCGGACCCTGGCTGGCTGCGGAGCGGGGGGCTCTCACCCTGCCCACCCCCAGGTCGGGAGGCTGCTGTGGGGGCTCTTTGCCCAGCCCCAGGGCATCGGCCCTGCTCTGACGGACACAGCCCCGCTGCGGGGCTCCTGGTGCCCCTGGCCCCCCGGCACCTGCCCACAGCAGGTTGTGGGGCAGCAGGGATTCATTAAAGCGCATTGAGGCTGCCTGGTGTCACCTGTGAGCTGGGGGGGCAGGGGACACCCGCGGGGTGAGGAGGAAGGCGAGGTGCCCACGGTGCCGCCAGAGCTGGCTGAGTGCCCTGCTCTGCTCCGTGGGGCAGCCCCCGTCCGTCCCGCCTGCAGAGCCCGAATCTGGGCGCTGGGGGCTGAGGTGCCAGCCAAATCCCTGCTCCTGAGCCGCCGTGGAGGCTCCCCAGAGAGGAGGAGCCCCCAGTGCTCCCCGTGCCACCTCGCAGGAGCCAGGGCAGCGCTCTCCGGGAGGGAGCTGGAGAAGACCCCTGGCTGCCGCCCATGCAAAGTGCCCCCGCTGTGGGGAGCCGCAGGAACCCTCCTCGATGCCTCCATCCTCCAGCAGTGCTTTTATTTCTCTGCAAAAGCCAGGAAAAGGCTTCCTCCAGCCTCTGCTGGTGTTCTAGGGCCACCGGAGCATCCTGGGGCCGGTGGCACCGCTCCTGCTGGAGCAGAAAGCATCCGGCAGAGGAAAGCGTAATCCCACAGTTTCCATTAAATGTGTTCTCACGTTTCTGCCCCGTTTTCCTTGCGGAGGTGCAGCAGCAGCATAGCTGGGTTAGAGGCGTCCCACGGCTGCCAGGGCTGCGGCTGCCAAGAGGAGACTCCAGAGGTGTGGGGGTTCCCTGGGACTGCTCGTGCCTGGGGGGGGGAACAGGGAGTTAATGACTGCCGGAGGGTGCCAGCACGGTGCTGGCCGTGGGAAGGGGCTGGGGGCTCGCCTCTTACCTGCGCTGAAAACACAGGGCTGGGCCTTGCACCTTTTCTCTGCCAAAGAGACCAACAACATCTGTGCACCGCCCCGCTCTGTGCCCCTCACCCTGCCCTGGCCGTGCCACAGAGGGCCCCCACTGCAAACCCCAAGGGAGAGCAGCTGGG